GCCAGTGTGAACGGCCTCCGCAGCAAAAGCGAACGCCACGAGTAAAGGCAGTTGTGCTGAGCGTGGTTGGCGTGGTATACTGATTGGCCTCTTGTGTGTTGCGCCTTGCTCAGGTTTTTGAAGTTCCAAGAGCCACTTACCTGCCGCTGTTCTTGAACAGCAACCAAGACGTAGAGGATCAAAGAAGGCAAAGACGAGCGTGGTGTTGAGATTGGTGTTGATCTTCTCCAAGGGGTGTCATCAAGGTTTGGCATAAACAGTGTCGACTAGAAATCGGAGGCATGATCTTTGTAAACAAACAGTTTTTAACAAATTGTATTTGATGTTGTTGTGTTACGTATTTGTGCCCTGGCCGGTGAGAGCTGTGATCAGCGTGCCCTGGCTGTGTGTGGCGCCTGCGTAGCATATCAGAGTGCATGTCAGATTTGGGGGGGCAGCAGCTGCAGCCGGTGAAGAGATTGTCCCCCACCAGACCTAGTTGGATGCCTGGGTGGGGCTGTCCAGGGAGACAGCGTGCCAACAACGAGCCAATAGCTGCGCGCATATGGAAACACAAGGGCACTGCAAGCAGAAAGAACACAGAGCCACCCCAAGAGCAGCAGCGGTTGGACGGTACCATCAGCGAATTGCCCACAATTGCTGATTGCTGGCCAAGCAAGGCCAGGCCGACGTCGTATCATCAAGTGTTGATTCAAAGCGCAGCAAATACATCTCAATGCAACACAGCAACAAGAGAACCGTCCAACAACGTTGCCATCAATGGACCTTGCATCAACGATCTCCATGTCAAAGAATGACCCAATTGATAGCCTGTTGCTGGACGCCTGGATTGCTGTAACGTTATCTGCCCTTTCCGCAATACAACTCAGCATCAACGTTGATGTGTGCAGTCGTTGATGCAACATTGCAACAGCGTGTCTTGCAGCAACAGCACCATCAAGACGTATTGCTGCAATGTTGCATCAACGCCCCAGCAACAGCCCTTGATAGCAACATTCCATCAATTCAGACATTGATGCAACGTTGCCATATTGCTCTTGATGCAACATTGCATCAAGACCGCTCTACACACACCAGCTCTTAAGACCGGCGTTGATGGAAGTGCCCATCAATGTTGCATCAACGCCTAGCAAATTTCCGGATGTGTGCACGAACTAATACTGCCAAGGGTACGGAGACAGCCCTGTAGGTTGCCCAGTGCAACTGGGCCTCTTTTGATGTGTCACGTGCGCTGACAGCCGAGTCAGCCGTACAGAGCCGCGGGAACCGGGCCCTGCGCCCGAGAAGCCTCCGCTTGAGACCCCCACGGCCTGGGAGGCTTGCGCATGGCGTGCAAGACAAATTCGAACCGCGCAGATGGTACAGACTCGTTCGCGGAACCATGGCGAACGTGCTGAACGACGCGGCTCCCCTCGAGCCGGACGGGATGCTCAGAGGGGCTGGAGAGAGTGGTCCAGTTTGGATCCCGCGAGCCAACGGCCTCTCCACCGACCGCCAAAGAGAGTTTCGAGCTGCTGTGGAGGGTCGGTAGGCAGCAGAAACGGGGGCGGCGTTGGCGATGGCGGGCCAGCCCCTGACGCGGCAGGCGCGAACGGCGAGGGCCTCGGATGCATCCATATGGCCAGCCTCCGACGCCGAAAGCGAGGCGGAGGCAAACGGCGAGCTTGGGGATACGGCAGACGCGGAAGCGGAGCGCCTTGACGGGGCGCACGACGAGCAGCTGATGGACACGGAGGCGCCTTGTGCGGATGACGACACGGCCTACCTAAGCGCGACGGGGGGAAGCTACTAGGCATGCGCAAAAAGCATGGACAAGGATGGCCATGCGGACTGAGAGCATGAAGAGCCGGAAACCGGGGGGAAGCAGCTGCGTTGAGCCAGTACATACTTTGTATGTGTATCAGTGGGATCATAAAGGAATATTCTAGCGGATTAGGGAATCTAGGTGGTTAGATAAGTGTTGCACTTGATGGTGAGCCGGTTGACTCTACATTGCAAAACTAAAGGGCTGGAACTTGAGCAGATTGAATTGGGCGGTGGAGAGTGACTGAGCAGTCTGATTAGTGTGACTTTTTGTGAGCTACTTGATAACTAGAATATTCCAGGGAATCTTCAGGGAATATTCAAGGGAATCTTCAGGGAATATTCCTAGAAGGGGTGCAGCCCTCGGGCTATAAAAAGGGGAGCGGCGCCCCTTATTGTCGTCAGCCAAACCGACCAGCCGGTGGTCCCAAGGGACCAACCAAACATTCCTTGTAATAATCGATAAATTGATCAAAGATTGGGTGCAGGTCACAACCCTTGGAGGCTTGTTTGGTGTGTGTGTGTGTTGAGTGTGTGGGCGGATTGTGAGTAACAACAGGCTCCATTACGTCAGTGCTCTAGTACACTCAAGACGTGTCCTATTGGGAACGCCTGCGGGGCCCCAAGCACACTTTAATAGTAATTGCACATTACATAATAGACTGGGAAGCCTACGGGGCCCCAGAAAAACACCCTCAGAAGAATCTAGGGTGCTGAGTCATAGTTAACTTACAGCACCGTCACACATTACCATAATACACAATACGGCTGGGTATTTACAGCCTTGAGCTGCGTTCCCAAGGTAGTTACTGTACTCTAGAGGAGACTAAAGACGGTTGGAAAGTACGCCAGGGGTGCCGTCCCCTCGAAGGCTTCACAACATCCTCGAAAGAGAACATTGGCGTTCATTGGAGACGCCAAGAATCCAGGTCAGCGTGTTGGGTCATTGTTGAAGTGTTATAGGTGATTCTGACTGTTTTGGCGAGCTGCTTGTTGTTAAAGCTTTTGCAAAGGTGACCTTCAACTGTACGACAAGCAGCGCTGCACATGCATTTGATTTAACACCAGGAAAATCGATTACAAATTGCAGCTACATTCCCTCTGGGCTCCTTGGCATATATTCAGTAAATTCTCGGAAAATCCATGCTGTTCATAGCATGGGCCATGCTGACAAGGACCCCAGAGAACTACGACAAAAAGTTGAAGCTCAGACTCCAGCCCCAAAGTTCACATCAACACAGTGTCCCCCCAGCTCCTCTGAAGATTAACCTACAGAAAAACACACAGGAGACTCAGAGGCAAACTCTGACAAAGGATCAAGCTCGTCAGCTGCGAAAAAGTTGGAAAGAGCGTTCTGGAAAAGTATTCGAAAGTTAACGCTCAGGTTGCCATAAGACTTTTCCACTAAACTAAAGAAAAGCTGGACGTTAAGGTGTATGCCGACGATGTACTAGTGTCTTTGGGTAGTGTGCATAGTCCAGGCGCCAGCCCAAAGGATTGGCTGGGCATATTCATCAAAACCAACCAGTTGTTGAAATTCTGGAAGGTTGCAGGTGGTCTGCTCTTGACGCTGCTCTGTGTGAATCTATCCACTTGCGGTCCTATTCTTGCCGTACGCCTTGCAAGATTGCTCCAGCGAGTGTACAGCCAGTGTTGGTGTAATTTGTTGTCATTTATGCGCGGAGAGGGCTTGCAGCTGGCTGGTACAGCCAGGGAAGTTGCCCGCATAAAGGGACAACTGAGCTTTTTGTGGAATTCTGAGCGTGCTAGGCGCTGTCAGATCGCACGGGAAAGGGACACAGGACTTGTCACTTCGCAGCCTCTGATGAGTTTGATAGCTGGCTCAGCCAGCAGCCCTTTTCAATTCCAGTTGATTTGCACCTTTTTTGTTGGGCTATTTTCAGGTTGTATAGTGGTCCTTGGCTGCTTGTGTCTGGGTGTTTGGATCGGACGCAGCCTCTGAGAGATTCTCACGAATCTGACCGTGGCTCATCTGCCAAATTAGGCAGCCACAACAATGGTCATCGAACATTTGATTGTTTGGCGTACCAAACTGTTGTGGGTGCTCTTGCGCAATGGGCATACGGGTATCGAACTGCGTTGGCCTGCCGTTGTGGTACATTGATCGGGACTGGGGCCACTTGCTTCATCCCCTGTTGGATGGAATGAAGGCAAAGCTGGAGGAATGTGAGGGGGGCGTTTTCTACCATGTGCTTATCTTGTCAATAGCCACTGGTGCGAGTTGGACACTCGATGGCATCTTGAATGACGTGACACACTTGGGATTGTTTATTCCAAGGCTCAAGAAATGCGCATTCTGTCTAGCTCCATCTGCAATCGCAGATGTTGAGGTCGGGAAAGCTTTGGGAGGGATGACCAACCTGGTGGCATTGGAGCTCACACAATTCCACATCGACAGCGCACGGGCTGCTGCATTTCTCAGTGCTGTAACCAACCTCACCAATTTGATGCTGCCAATGAGCACCTTAAGTCAGGATCTCCAAGCATTGACCTGCCTCACTGCCCTCTCCCACCTCGATCGCGCTCAGAGCAACATTGAGCACGAGCTGTTGCAATCACCTCAACGGTTTCCAGCATTGTGTTTTCTGAGCATTTGTGTTCCTAGTACTGGATTCAAGTAGATAGGAGCGCTGACCAGCTTGGTGGAGCTTGAGCTGCTACAGTGCTTCAATGACATCGTTGAATTAAGAAACCTCACAGCCCTCACATCTCTGCTCATGTGTGCTTGGTAGTGGGCCCCGATGGGCTAGAGCACATAGCCACGGATTATGCAGCGACAATGGGTCGCTTTGGGGTCAGGTCAGCAGCCTTCCTGCCTTGTTACGCAAAAAACGAACATGATGGCGGAGGCCGGTCTCAACAACAAGTTGTCAGCCTTATCCTCCAAGATTTCAACGCCGATGATGATGCGTCACAGCCGTTTTCGTTCTCGCCAGTACGTCATCACTTGCAGCACGCCCCTGGCCACCCAAACAACATATCTCGCCCCGTATCTCCCCCACGCCCGCTCGCCCACCCCACCACACACAGCCACAAACCCAGGCCCCACCTCCCCCTCCCGTGCCCCCCTCTCCCCCCCCACCCCCACCCCCACCCCTCTGCTCCCGTTCACCCAGCGCTTGGCAACCACCCCCCTTCCTTTTCAAAGCGTCAGTCGCGCAGCGCCGGCTGGCGCAATGCACGGCGTCCCATTGGGCGCCCCATGCTCCCATCGTGCCAAGCCCAGCGGTCGCGACCGGCCGCCGACGGCGCTCCAGATCCGCTGCGACGCGCGGACGCGCGGCGGCGACTCCGGGAGGCCTGGGAGGCCGGTCGGCCAGCCGGGGCCGCCGGGCGCCGCGCCATTGGGATCGAGCCTCGGGGCCACACCCGCTGGGGTGGCGCCTGCGCGGGAGGCGGAGGGACGGAGGTAATTGTTGGGATTTTTTGCGAGTTTTGTAATAAATGGTTTGTTGTGAATCGCGGAAGCTGTTTCGTGGCAAGGGCCCCCCGTGCGGAAGAGAATGAGTTTGAGGCTTTTCCCGAGATGCGCCGGGGGAGGGGGGCGCTGAGGAGGAGAGGGAGATTTTGCAATTTGTTGCAAGAGATTGAGGAAGAGGCCATAGAAGGGGCACCCTGTGCCGAAGCGCATGAGTGTGCGATTCTTTTCGGAGAGGCGCGGGTGGAAAGGATGGGGGAGGGAGGGTAAGATTTGAAGATTCGCTGCAATGACAGAGAGAACAACTCATAGAAGGGCACCCCCTCAGGGCGGTTGTGTGCTGGAGGGGTGTCTCTGTCGGTGGGCGCGGCGGGGCGCGTTGTAGTAGGGAAGGGGAGCTGGGATGTGGTTATGTCGTGGTGGAAGGGGGGTGGCGGTGCGGTGGCCCCACGGCCACTGTGTCGAGGAAGAGGAGGTCAGAAGGCCAGCGCACGCGCAGCGGGGCCTGAGCCGCTTCTGCTGTCGCCTGTCGTCCAGCGCGCTCGTTACCCACGGTCTGTGCAGCAATGTGGCGCCATGGCGTGCGACGGCTACGCTGACAGAGCTTCCAGGAGAGGATTTGGTGTTTCCCTGTGTCAGAGTGTGAAGAATGATGCGGAACTCACCAACCACTAGTGCAGGGGGGCTCCTTACCCTTTTCTCTATTTGTTGCCTTCTGAAAGATGAGTTGATGTTTTCACTGTTCTCTGACCAAATTTTGTATTCTGTCTCCAGTATATAAGTGAGATGTTGTGTATTTTAGCTTGCAGTCAGAATGATGTTGGGTGTGTTGCCTGCTGCAGTGGCTCCAGACTCCCTGAGAAAGCTGACTTGGTGGTGGTGAGGACTGATGGGCTCTCCTGCCAGAGAGAGACAGTCAATGGTGCGCTCACTTCATTTTGTGGATTTCTGCAAAATCAGGCCATCGGGTGGAAGAACCCCTTGGCTTGAACTACAGAATTTGAGTGAGGCATGTAAGGTCACTGAATGAGTTGCAGCAAATGTTGGTGGGTGTCGATCCCAAGATTGCATTTGTTGAAACGTAGTAAAGCATGCCCTTGCACCTTTACAGTGCTGGTGGCAGTGGCATTAAAAAGAGCAAAAAAATTGCTGAAATGAACAGACAGACCATGAAACAAGAAACCAAAGAGACAGTGCCAATTCATGTGTCGTATATGTGGCCCAGTGGTATATTGGACAGGATGGTGCAAGCGCTATATTGTGAAGCATTTGCACATCGGCTTGGTGCTCTGCTCACACCCATTCAAGCAAGGTACAGCGCCAAAGTACAGGCACCAAGTTTTCTGTGCCGAAACTGCATTTCCTTGCCTTTTGCTGCCTAGCAGAGTCAGAGCTTCTTGCCGATGCTGGATTGGTAGTACATTGAACACAGAAGTGCATGACTGTTGTGAGGCCATGGATGTGAATATGTAGGAGTAAATTTGCAAACTAGCAATAGAGCGGTGGTAGCAAATGTAAGTTAATTGCCGCTTAGGTACATGAGCAGCACCACTAAACACGCCAGGTTCAAAGGACATGGTGATCCACTGCTGTCCACAACAACAAACAGGCCATCAATGATGTACATTCCCTTCGTCGCCATTTTGAAAGCAAGGGACATTTTTCTTTGGCAAAGTAATGAGGGCCCTGCTGACTGTTGGAAAATGTATGCCATCTGATGACTTGAGTTCTGTGGAGGCACATGCGGTGACAAGTGTGTCATTTTCTTGCCTGAGTGGTGGATACATTAATTTGCGCTTTTGCATGCTTTCACCTGGACCCGTAGTGCTGGCAGTGTTGAGCTGGGATTGGCTGTGCTGAAGTGCATGGACTTGATCGACAACTTGACCTGGACATGCAGTCGTCAGTCGAATTTCAGCTTTTTGCCCACTTGCCCCATCAGGTCTTGGCAGCCTCTTGTTTGAGACCACCAGCACACACCAGCACATGCTTGTCTGGAAAACAAGGCCAAGAAGGTGAGAAGATGCGCTGTTGTTGAGACATGATGTGGTGAATGGCATTCTGCCCCTGTTCAGCAGCGGGTATCGCTGTTCACCAGGTTAGGCAACCAAGTTTGCTAAGTGGTTTGGTGAGAACAATGGAAATATGTTTACCCTTGCAATTCCGATAATCTATGCTCATCCTGGAGGAAAACAACTGGCAGTCGCGAAAACAGGCAAATGGAGACCTGAACATAACATGCAATCAGGATCTAAGCTCTAAGCTCTGTGGCAGACATGGGGGGAAATCACCCCTGAATAAATGAATTACTTTTGCAATACCCAGAAATGTTAGTTGCATCGCATTAAGTAGGCCCCAGCAGGATGAGAATCAGCCCCCATTTGGTCAGAGACCCTGCGGGCGTGTGAGTCCCTGAGTTGGGCATGCCAAGGAGTGTGGCTCGTGCTCAATGCGCGATGCCCATCGCGATGTTGAGTTGACACCCAGGTGTGCTTCTTGTCATCGCCGTTACGTGGAAATTGGAGCCAGCGTGCCCCAACTGCCTGCCTACACATGTGGGTCCACCCTTGCCACAAGGTTTCTGGTGCCCTGATTCCGACAGTGACTGTGGAATAGCTGCATGGGTCAAAGGTTGTCTGTCCATATCGAATCACCAATGAACGGCATGACCCACTGCTTCCAGCACCTACCTTTGTATGCCTGAACTTTGCCAAGCTTGATGAGTGTACAGCTGGAGCCCCCCGGTGCCTGGGTTGACAAATTTTCACTGTTGAAAATAGAATGGAAAGCAACAAAAACATTAAATTCACATTGCAGCTCAGGCTCTCTGGACATTGTTGTCCAGGGGACTTCTGTTTTCTGTGCTTCGCATTTTTCTGTTCCGAATTGTGACATCGCATATTTGGGAAGAAAGAAAGAGGAAGGAATTTGTTGTGCACTTGTCCTTCCTGTGGATGGGTCCAGAGCCTGCACTACCCATGTTCACTTTTGTGTTTAATGAAATAGTGTGTTCGTTGTCAATAGATACATTCAGTATTGTGTTGAGATTTTCAACTGCTGCCTGGTGCTGTCACAGCGTGATGCTGATAAAGAAGGTCGGGGACGAATTGATGAACGAGGTAGGACTGGCATCAAATGGTGTAGGCTTCCTTCACTCTTGGTTGGCTTTGGAGCACCACATACTGTGTGACATCGGTACTTCCAAATAGAAGTAAGAACCACTGTTGAGTGAATCTGGCTGTTTGTTGTGCTCACTGATGCTTCCTTTTGGTGCTGTGGGAAATTGTTGGCTGTTGCCTCCTCTCCAGATAAGTCACCAGGTAATTGAAGATAGGTGACACAGAACTCACCAGTCGTTGAGCTGTTGTTGATTGGAACACAAATCTGCATAGATTTGCCAACGCAACGTGAAACAGTGCCTTGCACTGTCCAGAAGATGTCGGGAAGTTGAACAGCCTGTGACCTTGCATCATGACACTCGCCCGCTTGCCCTGCAGTTCATTCAAGTGCTGCAGTACTTGGGGGAGGAGGAAGACATGCAGGTTGTGGTTGAGCCAGACATGTACACTAGGCTGGCAAAGTCGCATCCCCATTTTGGCTTTGTCCACACATACGATGAGAACGAGGTGAACAGGTGGGCAAAAGGAGCCAGCAGGCCTGGACTGTCTGCTTTTTTTCTTAATGTGAGGATAGGAATCGTGCCCTGGAGATTCGTCATCAGTTTTTTGGATTTTGGCACTTGATTCAATCGTAGCTTGGACAATCTGCAAGTAGATTAATTCCCAGTGTGGCCTTGAAGGTTCAAGGGCTTTCATTTCACCTCTCAACGAATGGACCAAAAGATTTGTACCAGGTTGCATGAGTTGCGCCTTGCATGTTTGTGGATTTCGTTGGCTGGATTCCCCAAAACATATAGCAGACGAGTCGCTGTGGCTAGGAAAGCGATGACAGGCATAGCAGTGCTCCACTCCAAGTTGTTATTGTTTGCCTTGCAGTGATGTACCAACATGACTACTTGGGCAAGGGAGGTGGTGGAACTAGGGTCACTAAGAATCAACCAGTCTCATTTGTTACATCTGAGATCTGCTCAAAGCAGAACGACTTTGTCCATTCCAGGTTGCCATGACATTTGCTTGCTTGGTTTGATGTGTCTGTCTCTTGTGTCACAAATGTGCCTTACCTGTGTCTGTTGTTTCGATTTGTTCTGTTTGGTGTGCAGTGTGCCTATTTTGGCCTGTTCTGCTATGTAAATGTTGAGGTTGATGTGATCGTGCTCTGTGTGAATAGGTTGGGAGAGTGTGTTGACTTCGTTGCGTGTCTAGGGGGTGACGGCGTCATCCTTCATGCCTCACACCTCTTTGGTGAAGTCATTCCTCCGGTGAGTCCAGCCAACACACTGATTCAATTCAACTGTCATGCGGTTGCACACTTGCTGTTCATGCCTAGTGCGAAACTAGGCAGATATGTAAGCATACCAACCAGCAGTGCAATGCCTCGACTGCTTCTGCAGTTTGTGCACAGCCACAAAATAGCTTCTTTGCGAATTTACGTTTTTACGCATAAAAACGTAAACATGGACAACGCAAACATAACATAAACATAAATAACGAGCATGCCTCTACCACAGTTTACTGACCCACCATTTGCTGACCATTTCTGACCCTGCGTGGCTCCCCAGGTGATTTGCTTCCACCTGGGCTCCCTGGGCTTCCTGACCAACCACCTCTTCTCCGAGTACCGTCAGGCGCTGCGCAACGTGATCTACGGCTGTGCCGACACAAGCCCCTGCAGCATCCCCGACAGCTTCAGTGCGGGTGTGCTTATCACACTGCGCATGCGCCTGCTGTGTGAGGTCATGCGGAAGGGCCAGGAAGCTCCTGTGCAGTCGTATGAGGTGCTGAACGAGGTCGTGGTGGACAGGGGGGCCAGCCCATACCTCACCAACATCGAGTGCCTGGAGCGGGGGCGCATGATCACAAGGGTGCGGTTTTTGTGCTTCTTGCTTCATTATCAGTGCATCGGCTGGGATTCCAGTGGTGTGTGGTCAGAACTGAGTTTTTGGAATGAAGGGGTGCGATCAGATCATGCACTCACAAGGTTGCAGTGCTTTGCTGTTTCATTGTATTCTGGTCCTTGATGCGCTTGTGTGAACTCGCTGTCATTTTGTTGTTTTGTTGCAATTCCACCATTGCAAATGGTGTGTTGCAAACTCACCCCACATGGTTGCTGGCTGGCACAGGCAAACTCACTGCAAGGATGTCGTTGTTCAACAGGAGGATGTCCGACACTTTGACGTGCTCATTGCCCTCCATCATGAATAACCATATCACACCCAATCTGGCAATATGTTGGGATCTCCTAAGAATAATGTGGCATTTCAGTTAAAATTTGTGGGGAGGTTGACAGCTTTACAGAGTAAGGAGTCCAGTCTGTATGTTTGCCTGTTTGTTTATATGTTTTGTTCACATGTAAATTTAGATATTGACATGTCTACTGACTACATTTGAGATGGTTGCTGATCTGCATTCATGTTTGTTTGCAGTATTAATAATTTGAACTCAGTGGCATGCTTTACAGGTGCAAGCCGACGGCATCATCCTTGCAACCCCCACTGGCAGCACTGCTTACTCTGTGGCAGCAGGAGGCTCCATGGTGCATCCCAATGTACCAGCGATGCTGATCACGCCCATCTGCCCGCACTCGCTCACCTTCCGACCTGTGGTCCTGCCGGACTATGCGGATGTGGAACTGAAGGTGAGGCTCCTTTGCAGCAGCCCTATTGTCGGACTTGATAGGATGTTTTGCAATTCCGTGTTTGTTATGGTAATCAGACATGAGTTCGGGATGCTTTCTGTCAACTGAACATGCCATGTGTATTTGTCCAGAACTTAGAGACACATGTGGCACTAAGTGTGCTCGGTGCTTTCCTAATTCCAAAATATCATCGTTACATTATTGTCTCTGAGACATGAGTATTCGATGCTGAGGGCTGCAGTTGGGTTGTGTAAAGATACCCGAGGGCAGCCGGAGCACTGGGTGGGTCAGCTTCGATGGGCGCGAGAGGAGGGAGCTCTGTGCGGGTGACAGCGTGCGAGTTCGGATGAGCCGCCACCCTGTGCCCACCATCAGCAAGGAGGACCAAACAGGCGACTGGTTCCACAGTCTAGAAAAATGCTTCGGGTGGAACGAGAGGCTTCAGCAGAAGCCCCTCGACTAGCAGCAGAGTGCCATCCAGACTTGCATACATTGTTAAGCACTTTTGATGCTGCTTCACCGTCAGTACTTTGACAAAGTACAATTCCTGCGGCATTTGCCTGGTGAGGTGTGCAGAGGGGAAATTTGATTGGTGCTGGAGCTTGGTTTGGACGGGATGGGATGCGGCCAATGAGTGGAGGAGTTGAGAGTGTGGATCGGAGGTCCCTGGATGGCCCGAGGAGTTAATGAGAGACCTTGCCGCGATCCCTTTCCCCGTCAGATGTGAGGGGTGCAGGAAAGGGGCCAAATAGCCCTGCTTGGGAAACAGGGTGTGTGTTCAGGCACTCGAATGACAAATTTGGTTATTACTGCGAGGATATGTCCTGCGGATGTGGTGGGGGTGTTTCAGCAACGGCTGCTAGATAGGCAGAGAAGGTTGATTCCCAGGAGTCGCAGTTCAAGAGTGCTCAACTGGGCTGCGGGATTGCAGTGTCTGCTGTTTCGCAATATGGCTGCAAGTGGTATGCGCAGAGTGCAGCAAAGGATGTTCGATTGGCAACAAATTCCAAAAGATTGGCAGGAGTTATGTGGAAGCACTCAGGTGTGTGGAAGATGTGATTGCAGCTGTTTCTTGGACGAATTTCGGCTGCTTGCTCGATTCAACGGGCAGCTTGGCTGAGAGGAACGTCTTTGAATGTGGGCGGGTGGCGTGAACCTGTACACCCAGGTACATCCAGGGTACACCCAGGGTGGTATGTGCCGAAGCACCCAGCGTCACATCACTTCGGCGACTTGGCTGGTGCTTTGGACAACAGCTGGCATTGGTTTGCGTTGACATTGGGGTGATTGGCCTCTTCTGGTTGCAATTATAATTCATCATTTTGGGGTTTGCGTCGCAGGGATTTGGGCATTCTTTTTGGTGTATTTTGCGATGGGTGTATTGTATCTTTCGAGTGAGTTGGGAAACCTCCCAGCTGGCCCTCTATGGCTTGGTTCAGGGTGCCGTGAAGTTTTTGAAGGGGTTTGTAACATGGGAGCGGAAAGTGGCGAGATGCTGCGACGATCTTTGTCATGTATGGTGCCAGGGAGATACAAAGTTGTACGTGTTGCTGCTTTGATTGTCTTTCCTTTCTCTGAAAGCGCTTGCAGTTGTGCACACTGGTGGTTTGTGCAAAATGGTAGACAGCACTTCGCGAGTTGAAGGAATTCAGCGAGAACATCAAGTCAATCATCGCACAAGATCTTCCTTTGGCATTGGCATG